CAGAGGCGTGGCAGAGGCGAGGCGGGGGCGAGGCAGGGGCGAGGCGGGAGCTGGGTAGGGTGAGTTCTGCTTCCCCTGACTGCCTGGCGAGTGCCCTCCGAATTTGCATTGAATTTCCTGCGGAGGCGACGCAATATGCAGAGGGAAATCGGAGAGCCAAATGCTGTGAAATCATAACAACTTCCGTCCGCCGCGAGACCGAAGGAATGTGCTTGGAAGTCGGGAATTTGTCTGCTTAAGAAGTTGGAGAAGTACATTTAAACGGATCGGAGAATTATAATTCCGCGCTTTTAAATGTTCTGCAAATAATTCTCCAAGTTTTTCACATTTTGCATAATGGAAGAAAAGATGAAAAATAATACTGCTATATGCACTAAAGGTTATTATTAATTCAAGAATTGTCTATTTCACTTAACACAATATGTAACGTATAATCGTCGAAGAGTTTTGCACCCGGTTTGAAATTGATTCTCATTTGTAAAAAGCCAACATTTTACAATTTTTCGTACCGAAAATGTGACCATAGTGACCAATGTGCCTCTCCTAATCATACCGTAGTTTATTTAGGGTTACTAGAGATAAACATTGTTTTCTTAAAATAAATGAGGTTGGAGAAACATTAATTCAATTCAATCTCGCTTACATTGTGTGTCGCTCAATAATCCAAAATTGAAGAAACATTTTTTTTATAGCAATTAGTTTCAAAATGAACGATCAATCCACAAAAATTCTGAATATTCTAACATGCTGTGAAGTTACCCTCTAAGAACGAGTGTAAGGAAAATGTCACAGCACCGTAATTGTTATCCCCCATTCGTCAAGTGGGCATTGTTTGATTGTCACAAAGTTGCTTTCCGCCTCAGGGAGTTTCCGAGAATCAGTTATTTTGCTGTATATCATTTGTAATTGAGTTTTGTTGCCCTCAGCCTCATTTCAAAATTGACTGTGCTGTGCACTGCATCTCGAAACATGAGCATAATTTTCCGTACAAATATTTTTTTGTTTACGCCGAACTTTTTTAATATTGATTAAAGTAGTAAATATACTAGGAGGTTCTGTTAAAAAATACTTTGTCCCTGATTTCAATAACTATGAAATATATGTTACACTAGTTTTTGCACTGTTTTTCTTATAGCCACTTAAACAATCTAAATATTTACAAACCAATGCTTTTTTAAAATATTAATTACATTTGTTGCTTTAAAAGTTCTTCAAAAATGTGTATGGTTGATGTACATTTTCAAGAGGTTCTTACTGTTGAAGACGTTTTGCAAAAGTTGATGCAAGCCAGGGTAAGGAAAAAATTATTTGATAGTACTAGGTATCTTCTTTGTTCCTCCTGAAGCATCCGAAATGACTGATGACAATGAGGTTGAAGCGGAATGTATTTCAAAGTTTATCAGGGAAAAAAATCTGGTACAAATAAAATATATAATTAAATATTTGGAGACGACTGTTCCTCTTGTAACATTTTTAGACAATTAGCCTTATGAAAAGAGAATTACCCATATCACACGAATATAGACTATTTGTTTGCCAACCTCCACTTGCTGAGGAATCTAAAAGGAATGAGGTATGATAAAACAGGTACGATTATCCCAAACAGAATATCACGAAATTGCCCTCTAACTTGTAATAAAAAATTTAAAAAGCCGGAGAACCATTAAAATCATTATAGAAAAAATTATGGCATCTTTCTATGCAAATGGTTTGACAACAATGTAGTTACAGCAACTTCTACGGGGTACGGAGGAATGGAAATGAAGAAAGGCGAAAAATACAGTCATTCTGAAAATAAAGTTATGAATGTGTTTCAACTATTATCAAGCCATACAATAAATTTACAGACGGTTCGGACCGCAAAGATGAGGATATCGGCATTTATAGGGTACAAATTGGTAATAAAGAATGATTTTGGGCATTATTTACTACGTGCTTAATGCAATTGCCAACAACACTTAAAATCTATATAAAATGCATAAAATCTTGTTACGCAACTTATTTTCAGGAGAGAAATCATGCAATTTAGCAGAGATCACCAAATTTAGTACTAATTTCTTTCCGCACAACTTTCCGCTTTCTTTTTATTCTGGAGAACATTTTTGCGATAACTTTGACTGTTTTTGTGATAAAAATGTTATATTTGATGTCATCAAATAGAATTGTAACATCTGTGTGTAATAATCACGTTCCTAAAAAAAGCATAAACACATATGTAATGCATCATTGATGTATTTTACTTCACCTTTTTTCTAACTTGGTACCAATATCCATATTGCTTAGAAATCACATATTAATCGTAATAATTTTGTGCATTTTCTCAGCATAGTTTAAAAACGTCTTGCCTTTCTGAGGTCGTGGAAGAAAAACTATTCACCATGACTTTTATTACAAGTTGCGAGTAGGAAAAGTCGTTTATTCATCAAGCGACAATAACGCCCACCAGAGACCCGCCCCTTCCGGAATCGACCGTCCACCGTTCCGTTTCTCCTTCCGCGTCTCACCGGCCGTCCCCGGACGAGATCTCCCGGCGGCGCCGGGACGCAATATCCGATCCGGGCGCCTTAATCCGGGCGGCCGCGGCCGTCCCGCCGTCGACGCCTGCGCCTCCGGAACTCTTGGCGCTCGTGAGGGCGGCGCGCCGCGCCTCGCCTCATGTGATAACGAGGACCCGCAGTTAACCCGCTCCGGTCGCCGAGGCTTACGACGTCTTAGCGACAGCCCGGCGCTGAAGGTGCGCGCCGCACGGCGACGGAACGAGGGGTGAACGGGCAGGGGAAGGGAACGTGGGCCGCCACGCCTGGTGATTTGGAACGGGTAGTGGTCACCGGGCGGGGGAGGAAGTGACACTGGGTGCGGGCGGAGGGAAGTGGGCGCCACGCAAGGTGGAGGGTGGGTGGTGACCGGCGGGGAGGGAGTTGGGCACCACCCCAAGGTTGATGATGGTGCGGCGGGACCCGACCGGGGGGTAAGGCCGAGCGTGGCGACCGGTGTGGGTGGCCCACGCCTGGTTGGATTCGGTTAGTGGGTGGGTGATGGGCGGGGGAGGGCCGAGTGGGCGCCACGCGCTGTAGATTGGGGAACGGCCGGGGGCGACGATTGTGGAGCTGGTTGCACCTTGCTTATGGAGAGGCCTGAGCTGTGTATGATGGAATGGCAGTTTGAGGGGATGTGGTGGGCGGATAAGACGGTGGTTGGTGTTGGACGAGAGGGCCGTTTCTACACGAAGACGCCCAAGTGAGATAGTTTGAAAGAATGGTAGTAGGAAAGGAGTGTGGCCAACTCGGAAGCGTGTTGAGCGGTTGACCCGTTGTGTGATGGTGGCGGGGCGGAAGAGAATGCAGCCAGCGATGCGAGATGCAAATAAGCAGTGTGCAGGACAAGACGGTGGATGGAGGGAGGGCGAGCGGAGCGGACCGGTCGGGCTAAGCGACGTGGACGAGTGCAGCGTCTGGGCAGGTGCGCAAGAAGGGCGTGCCGAGCGTAGTGCGCTTACCGAGAAGGGGCGGCGGGGGTGGGCGGGGCGCCGCGATGGCGACGGCCATCACGACCACCTGGGCGAAAGTCCCTAAGCCCACGCCCTCCCTCCCGTATGCTCGGCTGCCGGCCGCGAAACGCGCCCGCTCCCGATAATCCAGTGCCCCCTGCTGCCCAGCGTCAGACAGAAGAAGTCTAGGCTGCTTTGCCGAAATAACGGCATAGCAAAACTACTGAAAATAGAATATAGGAAGAAAACAATTGAAACATAAGCATGCAATTAATCTTTGGCTGTTCAAAACACTGGACACACCACATCCAAAATTATCACTCCTCCCCCGCTCCCGCCCCCAGTGGGACTTTGTATCTATGTGTGCTTCAATGACTGGAAGGACTGCGCGATTAAAATGAAACCTTAAGAGACGTTTTTTATTACTAAAGCGCGTCTAGGAGAAAACGAAAAGTCCTTTTTGTCGCAACATTAAAGTTGAAGATTCCCTCTACCCAACCATCAAATGAAGAGTGTCGTTGGTCTAGCGAAATATATTTCAATTGCAACTCTGCAGCAATTACTTACAAATTTCTTCAAAAATTGTTTTGTAGAAGTAATTTTTTTAAAATTCAGATTTCAATACCCATCTGCACAACTTCTTCATCAGTCAAATACAATTACATAATATTATCTATTCACAATAACCGTACAAAGAACATATTTTGACTCCCGACATAAATTGAAAAAAAAACAATAATTTAAATATAAATAATCCCCTATATAATAAATACCTTCAAGTAAACTTGATTTATATGGCAACTTCCACCAAAAAAAAATATAGCGTAAAAATAAAAAGTGCAATTGACGTACCTGTCTTACAATTTCCAAATGATATTTTCGCAATAAATAAAACTTAACGAATGTGGATACACTATTATCAATTTAATTACCGTATAAGAGGTCTCGCGCTACTCTTGGATCAGCTGCTCGCTTTCTCTTACACAGCCCTGGGATCGTCCCGGTGAGCAAGTATATAGTGTGCGTTTTCCTGGCAATGTTCCAGTATACGTTGCTGTGTACATGAGGAAAATTTCACTTCTCAGCTAAGAAGCCCCAAATAACAGCGCAATATTTCTACATGCGAAACAAACACCCCCTAACTCATGGCCAACAGGCAGACGTCACGTAGACCTTAGCCCGTTCACGGGCTGTCGCACAAGTACAACATACCTAATACAATACAATATAAATATAAAACACTTAAACACCCCCTTAATTTCTGACTGCTCTTGGAATAGTTCGGTCACGCAGCTATTATTTCGCCAGGAATGTAAAAATTCTGAGATGCACCGCTCCGCGCGCATGAGGAGGAGGATCACCTCCCGCAACAGGCGCTGGGCGGCCCGCTTCCGCCCAGTGGCGTGGCGGGCGGGGGAGCGAAAAGAGGGGCAGAGGAACGCCCCGTAAAATCTTCTAATACACTTCATAACGGCGTACCTCGACGCAAATGAAACGCGCTGCGCAAGAATACGCAATGGAGCCGGCGGAACGCCATCGATAAATTTCGCGAGCACTCCGCTGCTGCCCCCCCCCTCCCCTCCCTGCCCTCTCACCGTCCCCCACCTCTCCACTTCACCCCGTCCTCCCATTCGTTCGCTCGTTCGGCCGCGCCTCCCTCGCTCGCTTTCCCTTGTCCTCTCCCCTCACTCGCACCTGACGGCGCGGCCGTTATTGAAAAACCGCGCGGCGTCTGTCGGTCGCTCCCTCGGACTGCCTCGTTCCACGCCCACTCGCACCTACTCGGCATTCGATGTTCGCCCCGCTTCCACTTACCTGCACATACCATTACACCGGCCGAAGACTATCGGTGTTACGAGCTTGTCCCGATGATTTGTAGTCTGCGCTAACATCTCACCATCAAGCGGGGAAAGACATTCTCGCATAAACACTCTCTCCACCAAATGGGAAGAGAATCACTACCGTAAATCCAAAACACAATAAATCATTGAATCCGGGTTAGTCGGTGACGCCGCGTCGTTAGCAGAGAGGTAAAGAACGCACACCCGACAGTCAAGAGGTTATGAAGTCACGCGAAGCTTACGTTAAATATTTAATCCAATCAATTGTCAGACAAACTCTGTCCTTGATTCCTGAAAATTTTATACTCTTGCACTTATGAAGTAAATAACTTCTTTATACTCTGTAGTCATAATCCTAACGTCAATCAATCTATTGGACTTCTAACAACCATTCGCTTTTTTGCGCTGTTGGGCAAACGCGGCCTTTGAAAACCGCGCGAATCCCGATCCCGCCCCCTCTCAAGCCCGATCGTCCGCCGCCCACTCCGCCACAAAGAAACATTCGATAGTTCGCTGCTTTACACTTGCTCGTACGTGCCACTACACGCCGAGAACCAGTTCTGTGTCCCCTGGGGGCGGGGCTTGTTATAGAAATCCCCGCAGACCCGTGAGGTCTACCACTGCACCTCACAACCTTACCGGACGGAGAATTTTGTCACATTCTTAGAGTAAACATTCAGGACACTAATGCATTAATTCGTAAGAGCCATTGCGTGCCCGTAAACATCAATAATTATGTATTCGTTAGAAAAACCTCTGTTGCTGTGATATCAAAGAGGAAATTTTATGTTGCTCCTATATATTGTTTTTCTATAGTGTTGCTCAAAATCCTCAATCAATTAAACATTCTACTCCAATTCACTTTTTCCTCCCTCCCATTCGTTTCCTACGTTCCTCGGCAGCCCACATGCCTACCATAGTGATGTTCCACCATCGGCCTATTTGCTCTTCCCCAAACTTCCATTCTTTCTGTCAGATCGCTTCGCATATTTCTAACTTATGTTTCTTAATGAATGACAGGTTTCTTTTCCGTGGCAACACTTCCAGTCTCAACCACATTAGACTGAAAAGTCATCTCTTCCAGTAATATACTTCTTCATTATCCATAGTTAGTTTTGTTCACCTTAATTGTATCCCGTTGACGTTGTTTCTGCAGTTCACGGCCAGCAATGATAATATTTTTATTATAATTAAATATTTCAGTAAAAAAACTTTGGATAAAAGATATTAACAAATATACCATAAAAATAAAATACATTTCCCAGCAATGAATAGTATTAAACAATGAAAAATAGCAATTTATATCTTTAACATTGAGGTAGACGTTTTACCGTTGATAAGCC